TTTGTGTGTGTGTGTGTGTGTGTGTGTGTGTGTGTGTGTGTGTGTGTGTGTGTGTGTGTGTGTGTGTGTGTGTGTGTGTGTGTGTGTGTGTGTGAATATGCACGAGAGAAAGAACAAGCGAGGGAGTTTAGGAGAGTTAAAAAACAAAATACAGACTTCCTGTATTCTCTATAAGGCCATAGCAACCCCAGACAGGCACCGGGTTTGTGATGTAAAAGGTAAAGCACTTCTGTATTTTCTGCAATAATTGCAACACGCAAAGGTATTTGGTACATCACAAAGTATCTTCCCTTTACACAATATAAGATTTACCGGAGCAGCTATTGCAGGCGTCACGCACTTTCCTTGAAATAATGAAAAATGGAGAAGGTTAGAGTAATAGTTTGACATTTTGGGGAAATGTATTTATTAGCTTTCGTTTTGAGCCGTTTCTCCTACAATTCCAGTCTTTATGCTAAGCTAAGCGACCGCTGGCTGTAGCTTCACATTTAGCAAACAGACACGAGTATGGTATCGATCTTCTCATCTAACTAAGCTTATTTTTTCCCAAAATGTAAAACTATTCCTTTATTTGTTCCCCTTTTTCATGTCAAAGTGCTGCGTCTGTGTCACCAAAAATAGGACGTTTTCAGTAGCTACGTCTGCACACAAATGCATGCATCTTCAAAACAGGGCTGATTTCTGGCCAAAGACAACGTACAGAGCTGTAGCAGAGAATCATTATTGTATATAGACACACAGTTACTGTCTCCCTGTGGTCGGGTTGCCTCACCACTACTCCACACTACTGACCACTACACTATACCACCCTATGGTGTGGATGGACTACTAAGTCAATTGAAAAAAGGAGTTGCCTCATTACTAAAAACTCTATTCCTTAAACATTGATTCAAATCTTGTGATTCCTTCTCAGTAGCGAATTGATGTAGCAATAAATACGAGAGGCGGGTTGTTCCTCTGAGTGTTTAAACAATTCTGGAGGACCATGAGACGTCACGGAGACTTTTACCTGTTCAACGGCCAGTGGGTGCTAACTGAGAGCGGACCAGCGGAAAAAGGAGCAATTCTCCTTCTTCTTGTTCACTAAAGGATCCCTCTCTGTGCTCACAACGCCATTTACCCAGAATTCCCATTCCTCTACAGCTTTGTTGCTTTTTCAACAGTGTTCAGGTGTGTCCGGATGTTTGTCTGTCTTTCTGATTAACAAGTCAAAGCTGTGAATTTGGAGAGAAAAAATGTAAAAAAAAAAAAAAAAAAAAGGGCCAGCTCTAAGGACGTGTTCTCTGCAGAGGCGTTTGCTTTAGCTTATAACTAATCACATTCAGTTTAATTTCTTTAACAAAGACTAATTGTTCTTTTTCTCTGCTATCTGTTACTCGTCTCCAGGGCTTGTAACTTATTCACGATAGTCACTATTGACGGAAGGGGCGCTTCTGTCGCTCTCTGACCATTTAATAATCATTAGGCCTCAGTCTGGCAGTCTTTAGAGCTTGGCATTCAAACACTTGAAAACAAAAAAGACCTGTCCACCATGGCAGGTCTGCCAAAAAACTATAAAAAAAACTACAAAAGACTCAAGAACACAAAAAACAAAAGAAGCAACATGTCACTCAAAGTGATGTTAGCCAGTGTAGTCTATATTTCTTGTATTACATTTTGTATTATATTTTCATAAATGTTCTCTTGTAATGAAAAGACAAAAAAGAGCGAGTATATCTATCTATGTATAAATATAAAATATAAATATATATGAGAGACAGACGGACGTGAGGCCAGGCTTGTTGAAGGGAGAGTGTGGGCAGGGGAGCTGATACACTGGCCCCTCTCCCTTGGGTGACTCTCCTGCTGTCATTCTGTGCCTTGGTGAGCCTTAGACCTCCTCCTCCTCC